TGCTCAGTTCGAGATTTGATACATCTCGTTGGGCTACGGACTTTCTGAAAACCAAGAAGAATTGAGGAGCGGAAATGTCCTTGACTACTTCGAAGTACAAGGTGCGGATTGCTGTGCACGGGCAAACCGACACCTTCTTGAGCTGTCGTGGCTCTGGCTGAACTAAAAGTGGTCCGAAGTAGTTTAAACCTATATTGAAAGGACGATTCCGTACTTCCCAGTAAGTTGGGAGATCAGGTGGATTAGCATACATGTACGAGCGACCTTGTAATCGTCGAGAAAGATTGAGTAATTTCGCATAGCTTTGAAGTTGAGCCGCTCCTTCGCGATAATGCTCGCGAGGTTGGAGGAGTCTAGCTGCTTCAGAGTCACGCGGTTTGATTACAGTCGCTGTCGAAACCTGATCAGACAACGTTAGACTGAAGGAAGTGGTTTTCGGTTTTCCTTTTGTTGTAGCTCTGAGCTTTGAATGAAATTTTAATAGATAGCTCGTGATTGGAAGTAGCTGGAGTATAAGTTAGTTGACTTGAAATGGAATAAACGAACTATATGAATGCGTTGTTAATGCCGTCGTAGATTTTAACTCTACCTCGGCCTCCTTTGAGCGAGGGGGCTTTGCGGTGAAGTCAAAATCTGCGTTCGGCCAACGACTTGCTGGACTAGGTAGAAATTGTAGACCGTGCCGCCACATATGATCTTTCATCTCTAGTGCAGAGATGCCTTGAGTGGCGCAGTCTGCTGAACTATTTTCTGAGCTAGTATGAAGAGCATGATATGGGATGTTGGCTTTGTAAGCTCGTCAGGTACTTCTTTTATAGCTTTAACCCTGCTAGTAATGAGCGATTTTGGCTGTTTATTAGAATGAATCCAGTACAGTGTTATCCGGGAGTCAGACAACAGTTGGATTGAACTTGGCTTGATGCTAAGTTCCTGTACTAGATGCTGAACTATTTGCGGAGCTAGGGTTATAGCTAGTAGTTCTATCTTTGGTATGGTAATTTTTTCAGGCGCGGCTGAACTCGGTCTTGAGAAGATCAAGTTGCAAAGGTTTTCATATGCTGGGGGCCGGCATACCAGGTATGCGGCTGCAGGCATATGCCCTTTGTGATGCATCTGAAAAAACTGCCAAATCGTACTTGACAAGCTGAGGAAGTTCGATGTAAACTGGTAGACTTCCTGCAAAGCCAACGATGTTTCTCCAAGAAAAGTCGATGCGTTATCAAGCCGTCAGCGATTTCCACTGTGTTCTCGAATGGCTGGACTATGTCAACGTCCGTTTCGTCTCTTTCGTTCTTCATGGCTGGTATTTCAGGACCATGAAGTTGACGTATCAGACGGTTTGTTCCGCTGTTATGTTCAGCGTCGGACGTTGAGATGTTGAATTCGAATTAGAAACAACAGTGGGAATCGATGACGACTGCGATCCTGATAAGACGGGACCGAAGTGTTGTGTTAGACTGGACTAAACCAGAGGGGAGTAGGCGATTGGAATTTATCTCAACTACGTCCCAGTAATGGTCCATTCCTATCAGGATGTCGACCTCTTTACGGTCTTTGCTGTTATATGGTGGGACTGTAGTGTCCTCTGCTGAACTAAGTGATGAACTATATGGGACAGTGGTTATGAACTTTCGTGTCCATAATTTGAGACACGTGGGTCTCCCATCTGTCTCATTGTGTAGTACGATTCTAGACTCGATACGATGTTTCTGTTTGAGCATGGCCTCCAAAGGCTATAGTTGTTATATCCTTTGGTTGCCTTAGCTTCAATCCCAACGACTTTAGCTATATCTTCTTTGATATAGCTATGCTGGGATCCGCTATCGAGGAGAATCGTTAGCACTTGATCCGTTTTGTGTTGTGATTCTTTGTAAGTGCTTGGGCTATCATGAGGAGAGAACTGCTCATGCGGTTTGCTGTTTCAAGTGGTGTTTCCACCAGTTGAACTGTGTTTGTTAGAACACATCTTCGTGAGACTCGCATGATCTCGACTCAGAGTCCGTCTGTGGAATAATCTGCATCTTGGATGTTTTGATGCATCCACGCTGGACTAGAGTAAGTATGAGTGGCAGGTGAGGTCTTGAAGTCTACCCTTGGGTGGGGTGAACTTCTACGGGTCGTGTTCTGACGCACGACTGGGGACCTACCCCTACGAGCTGGACTAGGTGAGCGAGAGATCCTTCTGGATCTATCTCCTGAACTAGATCTGTAGTAGTTGGAATCATAGCGCTCTGTGCTACCGAAGCGGTTACGTGCTGGACTATTGGACCTGTTTGGACTTCGATACGTATTTCTTCTGTAGCAGAGGGCGCTGTGATGTCCACTTCCACACATGTAGCAGGAAGGTGCGTTGCAATCTCCGCTTTGATGTCCATGATTCAAACATTTCCAGCAGAGTTGTAGTTCTGCTGCCAATGTTCTTCTGGCGTGTGCTGTCGCAACTTCTCTGCACTGTGTGGGACTATGTCCTTTCAGGACACAGAACACGCAGCGGGATTCGTTTAAACTATGATCTTTCCTCTGCGGGGATCTGTGTCTGTGAGGACTCGAAGCTGAACTATGTCTGTTGGTTGGCCTGTGTCGTTGAGTTCTCCTGGGGGAATACGAACTGTTTGAATTAGGAGTATACACTGCGGACGTATGTGATGTCACTTCCGTCATTGGGTCGGTGTCTTCCATTACTTCAAGTCGATCGATTACTCGGTCGAAAGCCTGAAGTAGTTCTTCCACCGTCCAATGATCGTCTCGTTGCCTCATTTCTCCAACTCTCTGTCTTGTAGAGTGGGGAAATTTGGCTCGAATGATCCGCATCGTCCCAGTGGCTCCTGGCTGTTCTTTAAGATTTCTCAATTGCATCCATATCGCTTTGATTTTGCACAAGGTGGTACGTTGTGCAATAGGCGACTCGGACGCTGGACTTAGGGCCTCCAACTGCTCAAACAGTTTATTCCGGAAGAACGTCAGGCCGATTGTAACGTGCTATGGAGTAGGTTGATGCTTCCAAGTAGTTGTTAGGGGACAGTTCTATGGAGGCGATTAGGTCTTTTGCTTTTCCCTTGAGTTTGCTCTTAAGGTGTAGGAACTTTACCGCGGCTGGAATACTAGGATTGTTATGTATCGCGGCTAGATAGAGTTCCCAAAACTCAGGAAAGGCGCTGGGCTCTCCATAGAAGTCCGGAAGCTCCAACTTAGGCACGTGAACCAACAGTTCTGAACTAGAAGCTGAACTATCGGAGACGTCGACTACCTTCAAGGGAGTGACCGGGGTTTTGGTAAGGTCTCGTAACTGTTCTTCTATCGACCTGACTAGTGCTTTCGCGTTGATGAGTGCTTCGTCCGCTCTAATGCTGTCCCAATGGTCAGCAAACTCTTGAAGCAGGGCGAAACGCTCAGCCTCGGTTGTTACACCTTTCGCGTAATTTTCGGCACTAGTCCACTTCCCTTGTAGGGTCTCCATGAGATGAACTAATGCGGTCGCATACAGAGCCTGCGCGTAACAGAAGCTACTGTAAGGCGGTAGCCGAAGGCCTGTGCTACTGTGAAAGGTGAGGTAGTACAGGTGGACCGCAGTTCTTATCCGGTGAGGTTCCCGGATAAGATGAGCAGCTGGAGGTTGCAACCAATCACGTAAGTTAGTCCCAGGTTGAAAGGGCGCACTGACAGGGATAGGCCTATCGTCTCTTTTCTTTTCCAAACTAAC